TGGTGATGCAGAGTTTAGTTCTCATTGTGTAACTTGTGAAGGGGGTATCAGTCTGATCACTTCCTTGGAAGTCCTTTTTTGTCCTTTTTCAATAGTAAGTATGCTGTGGTGGGGTGCTTTGAGACTGTGTGGCTGTCCTGGTCCCCAATAAACCTTTCACTAGATGGTTTTAATTTGCCAGTGCTTTCTCTGAGGGCTTACCTAGGAGTCTACTGATGGATGTCAGTGTATCTGTGAAGCCCTTGGAATTTTGTGTTATGAGTGCATTTTTCCAAGGATATATAGTCTCTGACCTACAAAAGATTTAAGAGCTCTTTTCCCCTCTGTTTTTGAAGATCCTTTTCCATGTTTCTATGCATTAGGAAAGTTTGTTATATAGTCCAGGAATCAACTGTGTTAATGTGATTTTCCTAATCATCTACCCCAGCACCACATATTGCTAGATACTTAATTTTTGTTGTTCGTGGTTTGCGAACAATTTGTTCTGGACTTAGGCTTATTCTGAGCCAAGCATTTGGATTTTGTTGTTGTTTGGTATAAACTGTTCTAGACTTTAAAGCAAGGGTGCTTAGGCCTTGGTTTTTGGTGTTCTCTTCGAAGATTTTTGGGCACAGCAAAGTTTGATTAATATCTTTGTTGACACTAAAGTTAGTTCAACTGGAAGTGAGTTAAAACACCCATGTATATTTTAGTTGTCTATTTATTAGTTGTATCAGTAAGATTTTCTTATAAATGTGAAGTAACTTTTTTTTTAATACATAGAGAGAAGGGTCCAGCGGGTAACTTTGTTGTTGTTGTTATGTGCTTTGGGGAGCCTTAAGTCTCTTATTAGTCTAATGTGCAGTAGCTTTAGAAATGATTAATTCTTGACTCTCCCTTTTCAACTAGGACAGCAGTATAGAATTATGGCAGCTGACAACAAGATGTGTCTTGTTTACTATTGTTTCGTCTTTCTTGAAAAAAGTGTTTATTGGGTTACTGAGAATAACAATAAGAAATATGTGAAAAGTACACTTTAAAAATACACAGTATCCCATTTTACCTAGAAAACAGATATTGTTTTACATTTATCCTAGTTACACTGGTGGGAAAAAGTCTTGTTATTATTAGGTGCCACTGAGTTGGCTCTGACTCTTAGCGACCCTATGTATGTACAACAGAACGAAACAGTGCCTGGTTCTGCGCCATCCTCACAATTGCTGCTAAGCCTGAGCGCATCATTGCAGCCACTGTGTCAGTCCATCTCTTTGAGGGCCTTCCCCTTTTTCACTGACCCTCCACTTTA